AGGAGAAACAGCTTTTGTCAGCACAGATGGAGGAAGTTACACAGGGAATAGAACAGTGCAAGAAAGATATGCAACTCACTTATGCACAAGTGGCCAAGGAGAAGGAAAAAATAGAAGAAGCAGTAAAGGAAGTCAAACACTGCAGCAACCAAGATAAAACAAACATTAGGCTAGAAGTGAGGAAAGAATTGGCATCTAACCCGAAGTTGGTGCAAAACACAGTTGATCGGAGTAAGTCCCTGATCATTTTTGGCTGCAAAGAAAAGGCGATAACATCTAGGTCAGAAAGAGCTGTAGAAGAAGCTAAAGTAGTAGATAAAATTGTTGGCCTCGTGGAAGGTCTTACAAACAGAGAGAATGTGTGCGACTACAGGAGAATAGGCAGGTACGTAAAAGGGAAAGATCGACCTTTGAGGATCACCCTAAACGGTGCCAAACAGATGGAAGAAGTACTAAGGAATGCTAGAAAATTGCAAAGGGATGAGGATGGGAAAGGGTGGTCGTTAAGACGAGATCTTTCAAAAGAAGATAGAGAGAAGCTGAAACTGAACCTCGCCGAGGCAAAACATTTAAATGAGAGCAGGAATGAAGAAGAAATAAATTCTTTTTTCTACAAAGTGATAGGGGTAGGCAAACCAGTAAAGTGGTACATAAAGGCAAACCAACAAAATCAATAGAGAGAGGGGGAGTGAAGAATAAGGAGAGGGGGAACAAGTTCCTGAAGATTGCATACACCAACATAGATGGAGTGAGATCGAAGATACTGGAGTTAAGTGATGTAATACAGCTGCAGACACCAGACATTGTTGCACTCACGGAGACAAAACTTGAAGATGTAATTTTAAATGAGGTCATATTCCCAAGGGGCTACTCAATTTGGAGACGGGACAGAAAAATTAGGAAAGGCGGTGGCGTTGCTGTGCTGGTAAAAGAACACCTAAAGGTGAAGGAAATAATGACTGCCAATCCACAAGAAGTTGACATAATAGCACTAGAGATCTGCTATGAGGATGATAAACTAATGATGATAAATGCATATAGTCCACCGCCAAGCAGCACATGGTCAAAGGAGGAGCTAGATAGTAAACGTGAAGGTCTTATAACAATAATGAGAGAGATTATAGCGAGAGCGGATAACGATAGATCACGACTGTTGATAGTCGGTGACTTCAACTTGAAATCCATAGACTGGGAAGCATATGAAGCTAAAACAGAAGATTTTTGGACCTGTAAATTTGTAGACCTCATCCTGGAAACATTCTTGTATCAACATGTTAAACAAGCTACGAGGATGAGGGAAGGGGACGTTCCCTCCATGCTAGATTTGATATTTACCAGGAAGGAGGAAGAGATATTTGACATTCAGTACCTTCCTCCCTTGGGTAAAAGTGACCATGTCTTTTTGGGAATAAAGTATGCAATGCGTTATAAGCTGGAAGAAAATAAGGAGGTTGAAGCAGTTGAAAAACCAGACTTCAGGAGAGGACATTATGGTGACCTTAGAAATTTTTTTAGTGAGTATAATTGGACAGACTTGATGCTAGGCAAGGAAGTGAATGAGATGTATGGCAAGTTTTGTGAAATATATGATAAAGGCACAAAAAAATTTATACCAAAACAGAGATGCAGGACCAGAAAACAGGATTGGTTCGACAGAAATTGTGAGAGGGCAAGAGACCAAAAGACACAAAAATGGAATCAGTATAGGAAGAGGCCAAACCCCCAAACATACCAGCGATACAAAGATGCGAGAAACAATTATACAGCAGTAAGGAGAGAGGCAGAAAGAAATTTTGAAAAAGGGATAGCAGATAAATGTAAAACAGAACCGGGCCTATTCTACAAATTCATAAACAACAAATTGCAGGTAAAGGATAATATCCAGAGGTTGGAAATGGGAAACAGATTCACGGAAAATGAAAAGGAAATGTGTGAAACATTAAATGAAAAGTTCCAAAGTGTGTTTGTACAAAATGAAATCTTCAGAGAACCAGACACAATAAGAATTCCAGAGAACAACATAGAGCGGATAGAGGTGTCTAGAGATGAAGTGGAAAATATGCTAAAGGAGCTCGGGAGGAACAAAGCAGTTGGTCCAGATGGCGTTTCACCATGGGTTCTGAGAGAATGTGCATCTGAGCTCAGCATTCCACTTCACCTGATCTTTCAGGCATCCCTGTGTACAGGAATCGTAGCAGACGTGTGGAAACAGGCTAACATAGTTCCAATCTACAAAAGTGGCAGCAGGGAAGACCCCCTCAATTATAGACCTGTATCATTGACAAGTGTAATAGTGAAAGTATTGGAAAAGCTAATCAAAACTAAATGGGTAGAACACCTGGAGAGAAATGATATAATATCAGACAGACAGTATGGTTTTCGATCAGGAAGATCCTGTGTATCGAATTTACTCAGTTTCTATGATCGGGCCACAGAGATATTACAGGAAAGAGATGGCTGGGTTGACTGCATCTATCTGGACCTAAAAAAGGCTTTCGACAGAGTTCCACATAAGAGGTTGTTCTGGAAACTGGAAAATATTGGAGGGGTGACAGGTAAGCTTCTATCATGGATGAAAAATTTTCTGACTGATAGAAAAATGAGGGCAGTAATCAGAGGCAATGTATCGGAATGGAGAAATGTCACAAGTGGAGTACCACAGGGTTCAGTTCTTGCACCAGTGATGTTTATTGTGTACATAAATGATCTACCAGTTGGTATACAGAATTATATGAACATGTTTGCTGATGATGCTAAGATAATAGGAAGGATAAGAAATTTAGATGATTGTCATGCCCTTCAAGAAGACCTGGACAAAATAAGTATATGGAGCACCACTTGGCAAATGGAATTTAATGTTAATAAATGTCATGTTATGGAATGTGGAATAGGAGAACATAGACCCCACACAACCTATATATTATGTGAGAAATCTTTAAAGAATTCTGATAAAGAAAGAGATCTAGGAGTGGTTCTAGATAGAAAACTATCACCTGAGGACCACATTAAGAATATTGTGCAAGGAGCCTATGCAATGCTTTCTAACTTCAGAATTGCATTTAAATACATGGATGGCGATATACTAAAGAAATTGTTCATGACTTTTGTTAGGCCAAAGCTAGAATATGCAGCTGTTGTGTGGTGCCCATATCTTAAGAAGCACATCAACAAACTGGAAAAGGTGCAAAGACATGCTACTAAGTGGCTCCCAGAACTGAAGGGCAAGAGCTACGAGGAGAGGTTAGAAGCATTAAATATGCCAAAACTAGAAGACAGAAGAAAAAGAGGTGATATGATCACTACGTACAAAATAGTAACAGGAATTGATAAAATCGACAGGGAAGACTTCCTGAGACCTGGAACTTCAAGAACAAGAGGCCATAGATTTAAACTAGCTAAACACAGATGCCGAAGAAATATAAGAAAATTCACCTTCGCAAATAGAGTGGTAGACGGTTGGAACAAGTTAAGTGAGAAGGTGGTGGAGGCCAAGACCGTCAGTAGTTTCAAAGCGTTATATGACAAAGAGTGCTGGGAAGACGGGACACCACGAGCGTAGCTCTCATCCTGTAACTACACTTAGGTAATTACACTTAGGTAATTACGAAGGGAAATGCCTGTGTTTGACAACGACATTGCAGTTGGTGAGTGTCAGAGAAGGAAAAGTGATAACATTCTGTCAGTTCGGTGGAAAGACAAAAGAGAGGTGAACTTGTTGACAACAATTCATGATGGAACAATGGTGAACAGTGGGAAAGTGAGCCATAAAACAAACGCACCACTATATAAGCCAGACTGTGTTTTAGACTATAATATCAACCTGCGGTTGATTGATAAATCAGACATGATGATTGGCACTGCAGAGTGTGTGCGGAAGACATGTAGGTGGACGAAAAAAGTGTTCTTCCATCTTGTGGACATGAGCATGCTGAACTGTTTCAACATGTACCTTGTGAGAACTGGACGTAAGCCCACTTTCCGTGACTTTGTATTTGATGCTGCAATACAGTTATTAGGAAAGTTTGCAAAAGATGTCCCAGGTATTCAGCGGCCCATCATAAACCCACTGTTGCAGCATGCTGGTACTCCACGCCTCGCTCACACTGAAGGCTTCCTAGCACACAAACTTAAGTATTTGCCACCTGGTGTGAAGCGTGCAATAGCCCAACGTGATTGCTTGGTGTGTAAAACAACGACACGTAGAGACAAGAAACGGAAGCGTGTGCAAACATGGTGTGAAACGTGTGGTATCCCATTATGTGCTGTCGACTGCTTCAATGACTACCACAGTCTAGAAATCTTCTAAGTGTGCTTCAAAGTGTGTATAGCGTGTGCGAGTGTGTAAATATGTAAACATATAAGCAGATAGCGTGTGCGTGTGTGTAAATATATACAAATATAAGCAGAACATACAATATAATAGACTGTAATGACATATTATATTGCCGTAATTGAAAACATTTGTGTGCGCCTGTGTATACTCAAATATGCAACAATTATTGATACAAAATATGTTCAAACAGTATTTGGAACACAATTAGTGAAAAAAAATTAAATAAAATGCGCTTAGACATTGTAAATAAATAGCGCGAAAATATATTTGTGGCAACTCTGGCTGTTTGAGGACCGCGCGCAACATCTCCCGGGCGTGTACTGCATGAGCGAACATGCAGATTGTGACGTCATCACCGAGCTTCTCGGCTCTATTGCAACAAAAGTAAGTACAATAGAATTTTTTTTTTTTTTTTCCCGTGATCAGTGAACAGAACTTAACAGATTAGCAAAAAAAAAAAATTTTTTTTTTTTTCAAAATGACATGCGCCTGTGTGGATAGCAGGATATTAGACCCCGAGCATGTTAAGGGTTAAATATATTAAATATTACTTTTGCTAGACCCTCTATTATAATACAACCTTTCCCAAGCATGATGACAACTTGGAAATGTACCGAGACTCAGTTGAATTTATCATCATGTGAATGTAAGACAAGTTGAGACTGACCGTGTTGACAGTTGGTGACCAAGTTGATGGGGCTTCTGGACTGAGTCACTGTCACCACCATGTATAATGGCTCCTCCACTGCTGTACTTGGACACACTGTGTAATTTCCATTAATAATTAAACTTTTATTCTTGATAGACATGTCAATGTGCACCCATTCAAAATGTTTTAAATTTTCAAATTTTTCCACAGTAATTGACTCAGAGAGCTTGCCATTACTGAAGCAGCCCATTGCACTGGAATTCAGTTCAGGAACCATCGCTGTTAAAATGGCTTCCCTGTTATTCTTGTAAACAGTGAAATTGATCCCGGAGAGAACTTGATCGGTGGGAGCTTGAGGAAGGAAGCTGAGGGTGAGCATCTCATCCTTGAAGTAGTACCTCGGGGAGGCTTCAGTGTGGACCAGCTGATGCACTATACAGTCTGTTGGTGAAAATGGTCAATGAGCTCCTGCCATCACTCAAGAGTGCCACATGTGCCATATTCTGCCACTAATACCACCTATGGTGTTACAACCTGTAGTGTCACACTATACTATTATGTCACACCTTACCATCACACTAAACTACATCAAAATGCTCAAGTTAACATTTGACCAATTAGTTAATAATGTTCGTACAATTACAGAATAGTAATATAGTAATATTGACATTATGTGCACAACGGCCTCAATAGGTTAGGTGGGTTTCATGGGTGTTTACGTTTCTGGTTAGACAAAATAGTTGAATTTTTATTAGAGTAGTAAATTGGTCTCTACAGTGAGGTCTTTACATCACTGCATGGAGCCTATATGGTGATGTATAAGGTCTACCTATACATCACTTGTGTAAATCATTCCCACCTGCCACCATAATCCTGAAGACTTACCCTCAACATTGAGCTCCTCCTCCTTAATGTGGTAAAGTGATTACCACAAGTCACTAAACCCTTTCTCACACCAACTGGATAGTTAACTAGATTAGTGATAGTCTGAAAGTATATTATGGCTCCAATAATAGTCTACTGTACTTGTAAACTGACAAGAGAACCTTTATCTTAAATGAGAATGGTCTGTAAATGAAATTCTAGGGGATACTAAAATAGTTTTCAAATTTCATATGCCATGTTTTGGAATAATACACCCTATTAACATAACCAAATGTAATAAAACCTAACTTAATATAAGCTTAACCTAATATAGTCTTAATCAAACCTAACCATGGATAGGGAGTATATAATAGTACTAATTACACAGTGGTTTTGCAGTGTTTACCTCCGGGGTTCATCCTTCCTGAGGAGAGGTTGTGAACATCAGTGGTTGTCTGGTCAGCTCCGGCCATACCAAACAACAGTACAACTCCCAGGTACAAATGCCAGTGTCTTCCTTCAGTACGTGCAGGCTGACGATTCTTTGTGAGCTGACCATCACAACATGCAGGCTGCCCACCATCGTGTGCAGGCTGCCCACCATCGTGTGCAGGCTGCCCACCATCGTGTGCAGGCTGCCCACCATCATGTGCAGGCTGGCCACCATCATGTGCAGGCTGCCCACCATCATGTGCAGGCTGCCCACCATCGTGTGCAGGCTGCCCACCATCGTGTGCAGGCTGCCCACCATCGTGTGCAGGCTGCCCACCATCATGTGCAGGCTGCCCACCATCATGTGCAGGCTGGCCACCATCGTGTGCAGGCTGCCCACCATCGTGTGCAGGCTGCCCACCATCGTGTGCAGGCTGCCCACCATCGTGTGCAGGCTGCCCACCATCGTGTGCAGGCTGCCCACCATCGTGTGCAGGCTGCCCACCATCGTGTGCAGGCTGCCCACCATCATGTGCAGGCTGCCCACCATCGTGTGCAGGCTGCCCACCATCGTGTGCAGGCTGCTCACCATCGTGTGCCGGCTGCCCATCATAGTATACAGGTATTCCATCACCACTTACATCCTGTATGTTATTAGTTACAGGCCGCCCATCATCAACTGCAGGCTGCCCATTCCTGTATACTGGTTGCCCATTCACAATTATAGGTATCCAATCACCAATTACAGGCCACTTAACACTGATTATCACAAGGCATTTATTTAGTTTCATTCTATCCAACCTGTCCTGAGTACCGTATGAGGCAGTCTGACCTGTCCTGGGTACCGTATGAGGCAGTCTGACCTGTCCTGGGTACCGTATGAGGCAGTCTGACCTGTCCTGGGTACCGTACGAGGCAGTCTGACTGTCCTGGGTACCGTACGAGGCAGTCTGACTGTCCTGGGTACTGTATGAGGCAGTCTGGCTTGTCGTTGGGTACCGTCTGAGGCAGTCTGACCTGTCCTGGGTACTGTATGAGGCAGTCTGACCTGTCCTGGGTACTGTATGAGGCAGTCTGACCTGTCCTGGGTACCGTACGAGGCAGTCTGACCTGTCCTGGGTACCGTACGAGGCAGTCTGACCTGTCCTGGGTACCGTACGAGGCAGTCTGACTGTCCTGGGTACCGTACGAGGCAGTCTGACTGTCCTGGGTACTGTATGAGGCAGTCTGGCTTGTCCTGGGTACCGTCTGAGGCAGTCTGACCTGTCCTGGGCACCGTCTGAGGCAGTCTGACCTGTCCTGGGTACTGTATGAGGCAGTCTGACCTGTCCTGGGTACCGTCTGAGGAAGTCTGACCTGTCCTGGGTACTGTATGAGGCAGTCTGACCTGTCCTGGGTACCGTATGAGGCAGTCTGACCTGTCCTGGGTACTGTATGAGGCAGTCTGACCTGTCCTGGGTACCGTATGAGGCAGTCTGACCTGTCCTGGGTACCGTCTGAGGCAGTCTGACCTGTCCTGGTCACTACAGTACTAACACTGGCACATATGGGGCACTGCTTTTCACGCTAACTTATCACAGGAAGGCGTTACAGGATGCTCTTTAGTGCAATCTCTCGCTTTCCTTATCATGTACATAGCCTCACTTTTTCCTTTATAAATTTATACTGTATTATAAAATAGAATGTCTGCTTTCTATTGAGGTTTTGAAGGCCAGATGCTTCGGCCCAGTTTCACCCAACATCTCAGGATGACATATGGGTGATAGGGAAGCTGCCATAGGTGGGTAGGTGGTCAGCCCCATTTCCCCCATTATGAAGGTTCAGCTCCAATTGCCTCCTCCGGTGACTCCTATGAGATCTGATGTGGTTTTGTTTTCCAGAAGGTTCCCCAGTTTTCCGCAGCTCATAGTATTGCAAGTTCAGAAAGAGAGGAGGAGGGAGGGGGAAAAAGAAAGAGAGTGAGGGGGGGAAAAGGAAAGAGAGTGAGGGGAAAAGGAAGAAGAGGGAGGAAAAAGGAAAGTGAGGGTTTCCCCTCACTTTCCTTTTCCCTCTCTCCCAGGAAAGTGAGGAAAAATGAAAGAGTGAGGGAGACTGGGGATAAAGAATGGAGAGAGGTCAAAAGGAAAGAGAGAGAGGGAGGGGGAAAATGAAAGAGAGAGAGAAGGATGGGAAAAGGAGAGTGAGGGAGAGAGGGGAAAAGGGAGAGATGGGAAAAGGGAGAGAGAGAGAGAGAGATGGGGAATGGGGAAAAGGCAAGAGGGAAGGGAAAAATGAATCCCTCTCTCACATCTACTAGATGTGAGGGAGAGAGGGGGGCAGCAAAGAGTGAAGGAGAGAGGGGGAGGGTGTGAGAGAGATAGGGAGAGGGGGGCAGCAAAGAGTGAAGGAGAGAGGGGGAGGGTGAGAGAGAGACGAGATAATGTGCAGTCACCAACATATGTGTGTCTGTAGGATTGAGCTCTAGCTCTTGGACCCTTTTTTTCTAGCTGCCAGTTGTCTAATGCAATGACTCCTGACCTATTTCCCTTGAATACCTGATTTTACAGTTGTTGTAAATTGAGTTTGCCTCTACAACCTGCTCCTTTAGGCCATTCCATTTACTCACTACCTTTACACTAAAAGAAAACTCTGGGTAGGTGGTAGTTTTCGTCACTGGTAGGGGCGCGGGGTACTGAACAGCTAGTTTTCACCATTAACAGCGGCCGGCTCTGTTCCGCCTGGGTACGTTGTGCGGGGTTTTCCTTTTGTTTTTGTTTTTGCCTGGTGGGGGGTCTGCTTTTACTATGGTCCCCCTTTCCTGTTCTAGGTGAATTTCTTTCGAATTCTTCTGTTGGCGGTACTCCCCGCTTGGCCCCTGTGAGTGGACACGTCCCGGGGGTTCAGCTTTAGCAGTTTGTTGGTAGATTTGGGCGCCGGTTCGTGGTACCCTGCCTGGGCTTTCCTTAGCGTGTACCAAAGGCTAAGGGCCCTGGGAAACCCCACGGGGGCTCTGTGGTCCTCTAGGTGTGTCCCTGGAGTCCCCCTCGTGTCCTGCGAGTTTGATGGTTGATCTGTCCCCTTGTCTCAGGGGGACACTCACCGGTTGTGCCTCCGCCATGCTACCTGTTGGGTCCTTGTTCTTGTGACACGGAGTCGTCCGATGATTGTTGTCGGTACGCGCTCTCCTTCACCCAGGCCACTGGTCTTGATACTCGGGTGCAGGCGGCTGCGGCGTTGCTTCCTGGGTGTGTGTTGCTGCAACGCTCTTGGTTTGCGGCCCCGGATGCCCCGAGGCTGCCCCGTTTTGGTGGATGGGGTCTGGACATGGGGGTGGGGGTCGCTTCGGCTCTGGCTCCTTCCGCTTATTGTTCCTCCCTTTCTGTTCTACTCACTTCCTCCCTTGCTTCCTGCTCCGAACCATAGGAGGGTTTCGGGGTTGGGGCGGGGTCTGGTTGGGTTGAGACTCGGGCGGTCTCGGGGGTTTTCCTCTTCCGGGGTGGCGGCAGAGGCATTCGAGTCGGTTCCTCCTACTGTGCAGTATGGGTCTGACCAGTGGGCTCCCTTCATTAGTGTTTGCTCGGCTGCCCCGGCTTTTCCTCGTTAAGCTGGGGCTTTGGGGGTGCGGCTCGGCCCTGGGTCATGCCGTAGAGGTTCCCGGGGTTAGGGCGGGGTTACCTGGGGGGCCTCGGCCCCGTTTGCCCCTCTTGGGTCCTTGTACCTTTTGTGTGGGGCTGGCAGTTCCTCAGAGTAGGGTTGTTCCTTCCCTCTGTGTTCCTGTTGTTTTCGGGTATACCCCTCCCTGGGTTTGGTTCCGTGTTCCTTCGGGTTCATCGATCCCGTCATTCCTGGGGGTGTGTTTCACCCCCTTTTCCTTACCCTTTTCGCTCCTATGTCACGATGTAGTTCACAAAAAAAAAAAAAAAAAAGTGTTCAGGTAAGGTACATCCATACAAGGTGTGAAAGAAACATTGATGGATTTCTATATTGACCTAGTACATAGTGCCTAAACCGCTTCGTATCGTTGGCCCTGCATGTTCCTTGGTCAGGGGTGCTTGTCATGGTTCTCGTTGGTTCGTGAGTCTCTTCGTACCTTCCAATATTATTGGAACGTCTGTTGATTTTCGATGTGGTTTCCATCGGGTCTTTTGTCGGCCTTGTTGGTTCCCTTCCATCATTTGTTTTCTTTCGCTTTGTTTTCATCTTATTTTGTTTTCGCGTCGTCTCTACTTCCAGTTTCGGCGTTCTTTGTCTTCGTTTCACACGCCTTCCTGGTGTTTGTACGATGTCTGTTCGTTGTGTGTACGATTTGTGTGTTCGCCTGGTGTACGTGCCACGCCTCCCGGTGGACGGGTGGTGCGTTTCGTACCTCGTCCGCTGGGGCCGCGGTGTGCGTTTTGTTTACGGGCGGTATGCTCGTGTGTTCGCGACGTTTCTCGTGGTTTTTCTACAGCTGCACGTTTCTCCCTCCAGTCGTGGCCCTCTGGATGCTGAGGGTGTTTTGGATTTATATCTGGGGTGTCACTTTGTTCTTCCTCTGTACTGCTTCGTCTTCTGCAGGGTGCACACCTCTGGCCGTCTTTCTCCTTCGACCTCGCATTTTATTCAGGTAAGGATACATACTGTGCCTACTGCCTCGAGTATGCATGGCTTTCGGGCATACCTTTAGCGCTGCTCCTAGTATGTTACTTGGCTCGCCTGTGTCGTGGCACGGTCGTGTGTCTGCTCTGCAGGTGAGGTAGTCTTGTCTGGCGCTCCTGTCGGCCTAGTGCTGGTTCTCTCTTTTGGTGGGGTGCTTGCCTAGTTGTGCTTGCGGGGGTTGACTCTGGCTCTTGGGCCCCGCTTTTTCTGTCAGTTGACTGTTGCACAGTTTCCTGAGCCTTCTGGGCTCTGTCTTACGTTTGCTCCTGTGGGTGGCGTCTGCCTCCTATACATGGCATTTTGGTGCTTTTGGCTTCCTTTCCCTCTGCCATTACTCGGGTTCTTTTTAGTGTCTGGCTCCTTTGGGTGCTCACTACCTCCTGTGTCCCCTTGTGCGCACCTGCATACGGACATAAGTACAGTGGCCCTGCGGAGGGCCTCTTGGCCCGTGCGAGGTAGCTACTAAATTAAATTAAAATTTGCTTCGAGGGGCGAGTTTAATGGGCAGCGCCACTCATCTTGTGAGTGGACACACCGCCATAGCAGCATGTACAACACTCCCCAATAGGAGGAAAACCCGCTGGGTTGTTCGTCCTGTCACTTGTACCCAGACACAGCTGGGATTTGCTTAACTGTCTCAAGTGAACAGCTCCTCAAACAAGAAGATTAACATACATTCCCACTCACTTACATGTCCAACCCGCCCTTGCACCAATAGTGGGGCCCCACCACCACGTTACGTGGTTCTTGGTTCCTCACATCACCGGGCCTGTTACCGTGCCGGTCATTCCTCCGGTCTTTCCTGATTCTGAGCTTATCCCTTTTATGCCCATTGTTTCGTGCCCACAATGTGCCGCACGGGTGGCTTGTGCCACTATCCCAGTTTCTATTGTTTCGTGGAGATTGGTCAATAAACACAAACACTAAGGAACTACTTATCTTTTGTTGCATATACAGTAGTTGTGGGTGATCATTGGCGGGCAATGGTGCGGGTTGGGCGCACTGAGTGTCGGTATGGTGTCTCGCATGTCTGTTCTAGACCACACTTGCCGGTAGACTAGTTATTATTCGCTACTCTGCTGGTTATATGCTTGGGCGCCGCCTCAGTTCTCCACAGGTTGGCGGGACTTTTTGTTGGACATACGGAACGGTTTGATTCCGTCGTTGGTACTTTGTAGAGCTTTGCTTCTCTAGTTAGGCTCATGCGTTTGGAGCGTGTATCTTCTTGGGATACTCTACTCCCTCCGCCACCCTTGTTCACTGTTCCATCATTGTTTACTCTTCCCCGCTTGGCGGGATTGCGTCGATGGCTCCTTACTGGGGTGTTTGGTGTGGTGTTTGGTCACCTTGCATGTGTCTTTAGTGCCTTTTGTCCATCTGTTGTCCTGTTGGGGCTCTGCCCTGCATTTCGGTGCTTTAGTTTTCATTGTAGACCCCTGGGTCTTTTCCCTGTCTGGACACTTTCCTTGCCTATCTTCGGTGCCTGACTGCACCCTCACATAGCCAAGGGAGAGATCTTCTCAAGAACCTCAAGATAACCCTGCTGTCCGTAAGGTCCCTTAGGTATGTACGCGCTCCTCTACACATTTTGTGGTTGGTCGTGTGCATTACTTCCCGGCCGCTCCTTGGGCCGTATTCGTGGTTTTCCTTACCTAATGCAGTTTTTCCTCCCCCATGCTACACTTTTTTGGTGTATCTGGGTCAGTGCTTCTTGATTATCCTGTTTGGTGCTCCGGTGGGCCTCTGTCCATGTTCCACGTCCTGCTTTTGGACTTCTCCGGTGTTCCGTTTTGGTACCGAGTTCCTGCGATTTCTGTGTGGTTTTCTGCAAGCTTCGGGTTGCGCTGTCTGTGGGGGGGGGGGTGGACTTTTTCGGTCTGCCGCTCCTGCCTTCCTGGTTCCTTTTCTTGGAACCGGGTTTGCTGGGTTCCGGTCCTGTTTTCGTTTTTTTTTTGTTCCTTTTCCGGACCGGGTGTGTTTGTTTTCCTGCGGTTCTCGTCCTCAGTAGTTCTCCTCTTGGATGCCTCGGGGATGCGTGTATCATTCTTCCCTGCTGGAGCTGGTTATGTTGCTCCTTTGGGTTGCGGGGGTCACTGTTTTTAGATTTGCACTTTGCGCTTTCGATCGTGGTGTTCGTTTCTCGTCGTTTGTGTTGCCACAGGTGGGATCGCTATTGATCTCCCACCTGCACGTTTCGTCTCGGGGGCGGTGTATGGTTTTCCTATCACTGCGAAGGGTCCTTCGGTCTTTGATAGGGTTGGTTTGTCTTCCCTTTGGGGTTGTTCTGGGACCGTTGTCTGGGATTGTCCTGTCACCTCATGTTGGGTGGTGCTGGCAGAGCCGCTCCTGCTTGCGTTCAGTGTTGCGGTTCCTTCTGCTCCATTCCACTTGCTGTCCTGGGC